CCCAGCCACGGAGCAGCTCGTGGCGACCGTTGCGCGGAAACTGGCGCTGCGGCCTCCTCTCCCCTCCCCCCAGCGCCTCAATGGTCTTTCAAGAAAGGTTTAGTAGTTTTAAAAAACTCCTATGTTTACCCACGTAATGACTGTTATCAGCGCTTTTCCCGCTGCCCTGCGGACCCCTATTTCCGTTACCGTTTCCTTCCGGTTTGTCCGCTTGCCTTCAACGTTGGGCTCTTATTTCTACAAATAGGTTTTATTTTCTCTGGCAGTGCGGGGACGCTGGGAATGCATTCTTTCTCCTTTTGAGTGTCTGGGAAGTATTTCGTCTTACTATCTAAAGATGTTTGTTTCTGGATATAGAATTGCCATTTTTAATTTTTTTTAATTTCGGGGCCCCAGCAGCTGCTGCCCCGCCCCCTCCGCCCGTGACGTCAGGTGCCCCTTAGGGATCTTGTTCCTTCACGGCCTGACAGCCAGTATTTTGTAAAATGTTGCTACATATTTTTTAAATTATGCAAACTATTTTATATGTTTCGTCCATTTGTTATTGTTTCAGATGATAAGTGAGGGTGAATCTAATCTCTATTACTTCATTTTGGCCAGAGTAGAAGTCTGCTCAAAATTTCAAGGAGTGGCAATAATCTGCTTTAGGCCACGGACTATACTTCTGAGTTAGCTCAGGGATGTAGCTCATTTACCCTTAGTGACACCAACAGAAAAAGATAGAAAATAGCATAAAAATGAGTAATATTGTTACTTTACTCTTTTAAATTGATCATATTTTCCAATTAAATACAAACCCTTCAAGGAATTTTATGAAGTCAGAAAAGCAAAATTAGCAACCAGATTTAATTTGAATAGTAAGGTAGATGGTATCGATTTTTCTGATACTATCTTTGTTTAGTTTTAAAAAATTCTATCAGAAATTCTCTAAACAAAAATTAGAGACAATACTTACCAGTATGTCAGTGTACTATACTATGTGTAAATTTGCATGGAAAGATTGTTTTTAAATTTTTTAAATGTTATATTTTTCTTCCTAAGTATTTAGCAGTAGTGAACGTTATATGTATAGATTAATCTACACAATAAAATATTTTGACCCAAAATTTTATCTTTACATTTTCTCTCCCTGCCATACCAATATACAGGGTGTCCCGAAAAATGTATACACACTTTGAATAATTATTAATTCCAATGGGTAAAATCTGGAAAAAAAATCAATTGAGCTATCAGCTGTTAAGTGTGTATACATTATTTTGGGACACCCTGTATATATACACATGTTCCCAATCCCATTACTTAGGAATACTTTAAAGAATTTTGTATTTAATACAAGTAACTTATTAATAAAATTATCAGTTCTGAGTATTAGTTTATATTTAGTTTCACTGTTAATAAATTTTAGCCACTAAATAACCAGGTAATAAGTGTCTCAACTTAGTTTGGAAAGAAAAGTTGACCTGATTGATTTAACTTTCTTAGAGAAATTGCAAATTAAATGATGGCTTTAACCAAAGCTGACTAACAATGCTTTCTTTTTAAACTAAGACACATAAAGTAACTCCACTATTTTTTCATTTCAAAAAATTAAAAACACAAAAACTTTTGCTTGTTAGTCTATAATAACTTTCCTATATTCTAATTTAAGCACCTCTGTAATAATCCTTTGCACTACCTTATTTGTGAAGACATTCAACTTTACAAGGAAATTGTTATTTCATTTGTATTATAGTCCATACAGGTGCAAATGCTTTAATGGAGGACATACTATTCATAATAGTCCCCCCAAAATCGCATGGTTCTTCCAAAAGTCTTTTAATATAGAATTGTTAAAATTAGAGTTGTTAAACCAATTAATCTTCTATTATTATTTATCTATAAGGCTACTCTTTAGAGTGCAGTTCCTTTTTCGTATACAATTGTTTAAATGATGTTCACACTGTAAAGTTTAAAATGTATTCACTCATTCACTAATTTGACAAATATGGTTTGAGAGGTTGCTATATATGGGCTTTATTATAGGCAGTAATGGTGCATAAACATTCTCCCTGCTGTTATTATTACAACTAATATAATATTGATGAATCTTTCTTTACACATCATGTTTTGGAGAGACGTTCATTTAATCATTGTTTTTCCCCGCTCGAGCCCACTAATTATAAATTCAATGAGGGCAGGTATCTTGTCTTGTGTCTTGGGCACTTAGAACAGTGTCTGACCCAAAGCCGGAACTCAAGAAATATTTGTTGAATGAGCTCATGAACACCACTCCACGTGGTCCTCACTGTATTATCATGAAGTCAAGAGAATTTTGCTTTTGACTGTTGAGTGAGCTTTTGGTTATCCATTTTAAAATCTAATGTAATAGGGTAGATTGATGAACAGGCAGAAAGATGGGGAAATGACAAGATACACGATAAAGTTAGTATAGCAAAATAGTAATTGTAGAATCGATGTGGTAGCTACAATGGTGATGGTGGTAAAGCTCTTTCAACTTTTCTATATGGTTGCCAATTTTTATAACAAAATATGGGGAAAATGTAATGCAAATAGCTGGTCAAGCTGCAAACAGCAATTAATTTCGTACAGATTCTTTTGTTTGTTTGGAGGGACAGTTGATAGGAACAAAAGAGTCAGCCAAGTTTACTTGGATTCTAGAGTCTGTGGTGGAATAGCCTAAATATAATAGTTTATCTCAAGAAAACCATTAACTATGAATCCTTTTCATTAAGATATTTGCACTTTTTTGTGGGAATTTTCTTCTGCCATTGTAAACCTTGTAAATCCTAGGAAGCTAGCTGCATCTTTAACTCCTTGGCTTTTAACAAGAAATATCAGGCATTCAAAAATGCTGCTGCTCTTTTCAATCTCTAAAGAGCAGGCGTTAGTTCTGAAAGTTTCAGTTTTATCAAATTTGGACTTAGTCTTTAATTTGAGAGTGTGTGCCTTGATCGTAAAGGCATTGAGTTATATAGTTTGTGGCTAGGAAATTCAACTTTTTTAGACTGTGTCATAACTAATGCATCATCACAGTTGGTAATCTTCAGAACACTGACGCATTTTTCTACATGCTGTTCCCAAATGTGCTGGACCAGCTGTTGAGAGCCATGCCATCCAATCGCCTGGAAGACCTCTTCTTGGACCACAAATCACCTCTCGTACTATCCCTCTTTGTTCTAATAAAGAATGGGAAAATTAAAGCAAGTTACCATGGTTTATTACTCATGTTTTCTCTGTTAAGCATGGGCTGTGGGAGTCACTGCATTTACCTTAGGAGGCCCTGGCATTCTAGGTAAGCACTCGTAACAGACACGCCAATGAGTTTAATACTCACAGGTCTGAAAGTGATTTTATGAATGTTTGAATCATGAAATTTTTTATTGTGTGTATGTGCGCACGTGCATGCGTGTGTGTGTTCTTTGTCATTTTCCCAGTGAAAATTGCCCTGACACTGATCTCAATGTTAATGTATTCCTGCTTACATTTGACTTTGGAATATGTTACGGCTAATTATCATTACCCAGGATGAGAGATCAGAGCCCCGAGTGAGGTGCTTGGGTTTAGGAACAAAGGGAGGCCAATTCGGCATCTTGGCTGTAGGCCCAACAATTGTAATCGAACATCTTGAATCTGATGGGGTCTTTGCATCTGTTTCTTTTACTTTTTCTCCCTCAATTTTTGAAAGGGGGTAGAGGAAAGGGGTTAAGGGTTTGAGGGGCTGAAATTTCCCCTTGAACATGATGTCAATATGTTGGCACGTCTCCTTTTATTAAGATGCCATCCAACTGATAACAAGTCCTGCTGTGTTTTACCAACATAAAAAATTAGACTGGAGACCGAGGAGCGGCAGGTGGCTTTTGGCACCAAGAAATAATCACACTTGATGTGGAAAGTAAAGTAAAAGGAGCCATCTGTTCACTGCAGGAGGACGTGAAAAATCACATTAACATATTGTCACTAACATCATGAAATACACAGTTAATAATAAATTTAGTTATCATGGCAAGTCGTGTTGGATACTTACTCTGAAAATGCAGAATGTGAAAGATGCTCTTTCTTGCCCACCCCATCTTTTTTTTTTTTGAAGAAAAAAAAAAATACT